TAAATTTGTCACATTCTGTAATATTAAAACTTCATGCTATGATATATTTAATCGAATCAACACCAACCCTTGGATTTGTTTAACTGATCATGTTTATTATAATCAAAACAAAAAAGCTTATGAACAAAGGTTGATAACAGTAGGAGACAGATATTCTAACGTTTCCATAAATAAGTTTAGGGCCAAATCAAGAGACAATTGTAAAGTCATGCAAGCCTAAGCAAAAAGCATAGTAAGGATATAAGTATCGAAGCCCAAAAGTTAGGATAAAGATTGATTCACAAACCAATCTTATAAATTTTATCTAGTAACCCTAAAATAACTGTTTACGATTGATCAGTTTGTAAATAGGTAGGAAAGACCAATAGCGAAAGGACGAGTCCTATTTATCAACCTACAAAAATAAGATGGATCAAAGGAAAAGTCAAAAAGAGCCCAAACCCTCATATTTTACAAGTTACAATCCAATTCTTTAAGAATAGGAAGTCAAAGAGAAATAGAAACACCATCTATACGATACCCCATTATCAAGGTTATGCTTCATGACTCCTTACCTTAAGGGACAAGTCATAAAACCCATAATCAAGAACCCTTATAACATGGGGATTGCAATTGAAGAAGACAAGTCAAATTTTTACTACACAAGCAAGCTTAAACACATTTAGGCTTTACGCTACCAATATTGTTTCTTTACTTTTGTAATCTCCATCAAGGTTCCACCATATCTTTGTACCTATTGGGATTAATGGGATAATAAGAATCTTATCATTTTTGGGTCAAACAACCAGTATCTTCTCTTCAATTCTATACCTGATATATGCAAGCAAATCTAGATCCAACGAGTTTCATTTTTTGCATAGATATGATGCTTAGGGGTGAGCATGGGTAAATAGTAGAACCAGAACCGACCCTGTTAGGGTTCGGTTCCAGTTTTAGAAAATTAGAATTGGAAATTTTTGGGTCCAATTTCAATGCCTATAATGCTAGAACCAGAACCAGAACCAGAACTGGAATCAAGGTCTAAGTACCCAGTTAGGAATTGAGATTGAATTGTAATTTTTGTAAATTGTTGAGCGTGTATTAGTAAGTTTTTAGGGGGTGTATTTGTCTTTTTTGTAGAAGTAAGGGGTAATTAAAATTAATCCGAATACTCAGAACCGGAACCAAAACCTATGTTTCAGGTTCTGATATCAGGTTTCCAAGAACCAGAGCTGACTGGTTCCAGTTCTAGTTCCAAATCTTAGGTATCGATTGATTTTCGTTCCAATTCCTTAAAAAAATATAGAGCACCTAAAACCGATCACCCCTAATGATGCTGTTGCCAATGATTGTGTTCTAGTAAGCTTCCAACACTGTTACTTCTATTTTAGTAGGATTATCAGCTCCATATATAAGAGGGAAAGTTTGAAAAATGAAAAAGAAAAGTGCAACCCTCAGCCGTTGATTGTTCCTCAAATAAAGGGCAGACAACCAAATATAATATAATATTTTTCCCGTAATTCTACGTTACAGTAAAAAAACTACAAAAGTGGAAACGCGATACAATTCTTAATATAATGACGATGACCAGCAAACAAATCAAGAAACTCCTGAAAAACAAACGCTTATTGATATTAAAGAAATAACATCCGCTTCACTCACCAAGCTTCTCAAGAGCTGCACTGCTCAACCAGCATAAACGCCATTTATGATCAACCACTTCAGCTCCCATCTCTTCGTAAAACTTAATAGCATCATCATTCCAGTCAATCACAGCCCACTCAACTTTCCCATACCCCATTTTCACAGCTTGTTTCGCAACTGCACTCAACAGCATCCGTCCAAAACCCTTCCTTCTGTAACACTCTCTCACGAACAAATCCTCGATGCAAAACCCGTGTTTCGCGAGAAATGAGGAATAATTCGGAGAAAATGAAACGAACCCAACAACAGTAACATCGTTAACTTTATCAGAGATGAATGTTTCGTGCTCGGTATCGGTTAGTGGATGGTCTAAGTGAATGACACGGTCGGAGGGGGTCAAGGGGTTCGGGGAGACTTCGAGGAGGAAGATAGTGACGGAAGTGAAGGGGGCGTATTTGAAGATGGTGGCGAAGAAGTCGTGAGTGAGGTGTGAGAAGACGGCCTGTTGGTGGAGGAGTTTGTAGATGTGGGGGACGTCGGCGGGAGTGGCCAGACGAATGCGGGAGAAGAGAGAATGGGAGGGCTCCATTTTTTTTTCTGGTTGGAGATAGAAGAGTTCTGGATGATTCAGGATGAAATTTATGAGGATAGAATGATAGTGAATTTCAACCACCACCATGGAAATTTCAGTAAGACAATAATATAAAACTTGATGTGGCGAAAATTTTATTCCAACTTATAATATAAAAAAGAAAAGTTTACATTTGATATGGNAACATGTAGTGAGTTGCCTGTCTCAATGCCATGCTCAGTGCTATAATCGCGTTTCAGAATCACCACAGAACTGCAAGAATGTAAGGGTAAGGGTAAACTCTGGAGCTTGGTGCAGCACTGTGACTGTGTTAATATGAGAATCATCGTAGACATGATGGCATGAGAATCCAAATTTGATTACAGGTGAGGTGAGTTGTCATGGTAGAGAAGAGCCTTATCCACCAAATTCTTGACCCTCTTTTTAATGGTCTCCCCAAGCTCTTTTTTTCTTCAAATGTGAGACGGGGGAATTATTCACTTGCATCTTCTGATATTGATTCGTTACCGTGTCCAAGTTGCTAGCATCCATGCCCAATTTCACCATTCCAAGGACTGAATTTATATGGAGTACAAATCCAAAAGAACGTAATTATTTGAAGTAGATAAGTTCAGATTCCTGCTCTCCAAGTAAAATCTTCAGAGAAGCCGAGCAGAGATCCGGTTCTACTTTTGTAAGCGGTTCCAAAAAAATCTCTTTTCTACCGGTGGAAACAGAGTTCTACAAGGAATATGGTTTTCAATTTCCAGTTGAAAAAAAAAAAAAGGGAAAAAATGAAATTCTTTCTATTTATATTGTTGTAAATGCAAAATTAGTTTATACAAGGCAGGTGAGTTTTGATTTCATGACTGATTCAGGAGAGTACTATCCTCGAATGCTGAATTGAGGAACAGATCTAATATGAGAATTCCTTCTCCATTCATAGTACTTCATATTAAATTGCTCTTATGGGGCGTTTGGTTGGTGGTAATGTCAGATTATTGGGATAATGTCATCTGATATTACTTGATTACCACGTTTGATTGTTAAGTAATATAAGATTTCGGTAACCTTTAAATACCAATAATAGTTACTATTGGTAATATTGGAGGTAATCTGATTACCTCTATTTTCCTAGGTATTCTGAGATTAACAGGGTTATTTTTTTTTGTTACAATTTTATCCCTTATTAATAAAAATTTTGGACAATAATGCCCTCATTTTAAAATAAATTTACATTAATATCCTATTTCAATTTTACCCTTGTTTAACTAAAATTTTGGACAATAATGTCCTTGTATTTAAAACAATTTACAGACCACTGCCACTCAGCCACCACCATCACTGCCACCTAGCCACCACCGCCTACAGCGGCCAACCACCACGGACCACCTCGGAAAACTCACCAGAGTCCCTAAAAAAGAACGAGTTTGAGTGGGAGGCTCCGGGAGTCATCGATATGGCCGTTTTCAGCCATATTGATGGCCGAAAACGACCATATCAGGCCAGATCTGGTCGTTAATGGCCAGATCCCTAGCCATTAGCGGCCAAATCTGGCCTGATATGGCCGTTTTCGGCCATCAATATGGCCGAAAACAGCCATATCAAAGCTTCTTAGTCACGGTGAGTTGTTGATGGGGACTTTCGGAGACTTCCGACGGTGGTCTGCGGTGGCGGCAGGAGGTAGGGGTGATTTCGTAATAAATTAAAGTTTTATATAAGTAGGGGTGTTTTAACTAAATCTGAAATATTGGGGGTTAAAAGAAATTATTCAAAAATTAATAATAAAAATAATATTATATTAATATTTGTAAAGGGGACAATTTAGTAATTTAAATAACATACCCACCAATTTATTNTCCGTATTATGCTCGGAAGAAAGAGAGGATCCTCTGAAGGATGTAAAGGATCCAAAGGAATGAATTTGATAACATAATCGGTACATTGGTAAAGCTTTTTGCTACTTACCATGGGAAGTACCAACTACCAACAGATCATCAAGAAAAATCTGGAGCCATCAAATCAGGAAGCACTACATCAGCTTTGGGGCAATTACCATCGCGGCTTTAGCCTTTCAGCACTTTAAAGTGACGAGTAGTTTCCTCTGTTTTGCTTACTGTTTTATCACTAAGTTATAAATGTCGTTACTACAGAAGTACAGATTAACTTCTGTTCAACGCATGTTATAATATGTACGATGGTTTCGACAACTTGGCACAACGAAATACATACATTCGAGATAAATAATATGAGATTAAAATTATATCACATAAAGAAACATGATATTTACGTAATTCAACATAACCTGCTTACATCCATAGATGAGAGAAATTCACTATAATTTTATGAACATGATATATAAGAATAAGAGTACATAACACCATAAATCCAGTAGATAATTAATGGAGTGAAAACAATTCTAATTTCTAACCTAGTACCTAGAACGAAAACAATCATAGTTTCTAAGACACTCTACACATAGTGTTTAATAACCCATACATTAAATAGTAAATACTCTGTGCTTTCACATTCTCTCATAACCTTGAATTGGTTCTCACACCTATATTTATAAGTGGAATATGAAATATTCTATTTCTAATAGGATTCATATTTCAATTCCTAATAGGACTCCTAAATTTTATTCCTATTTACAACTGTATTTATTCATTAAATAGTTTTTCCCAAGATATACAATTTCACATAAAAACAAATAAGNCTGAACAACATGAGACAAAATTGCTTCATGCTCTATCTGGAAATTGTAAGATGTGCAAAACAAACCATCTTATTTTGCCAGTTCTCTTTTGACAGTGAGATGATCCAGTCATTCAATCCAAAAGCACAGCAAAATCCATTATTTTTCTGAGATCAATCAAGGATTCCATCTTAATAACTTTAACTTCAAGTAGAATGTCAATCAACACTTGCTACATTAACTTTCAAAATTAGACTCAGACCTTTAAGAAGGCTACGCCTAGCATTCTACTATTAGAATTCGAGGCAATCATGGTAACCACATATTTGAAACAAGAAATGAAGTAACTCAACTACAAAGGCGTTTCCTATATATTGTTGTAGGTAGCTGGATATATTAGTCTTTCAAGTTTCCCTTTCCAGTTAAATCTTCAAGTGTTAGATTAAATGTATCAGAAGAACCTTTCTTCACTTCTTCCCCACGAGCGGCAAGGAATTCCTCAACGCTTCCTGGTTCTCCAAACCACCCAAGACGATCTGCAATCAGGTGCAGATTATTACAGCCACCACAGCGTGCCACCACAACACCTTTCTCATAAGATTCACGACAAATGGTCTTCACAGATCTTGTTTCACATACCCTGCAAGTAAAGATCATAGCCAGATCATGCCTTGGGGATGTCTTCAAGTTGGAAACGGCAGTGTGCTTCACAGCAGAACTGTCATCAGTGGGCTTTAAACTGCCAGTCTCATGATTTTGCAGAACCTCATCAGCCACGCTGGTTGGATTTGTTATTGTTTTAAGTCCTCTTCTATGATATTCATTTCTGCTAAAGAGTGCACTTGCTGAAGGAAACAACTGCCTAGAGGGTTCTGCCAGAATATTGAAAAGAGTAGAAAGTTTTTTAATACTTCAGAAAGTCAATGTCAATAACAAGGACAGAGAGAAGAGTATGTATGCTACATTAATTAATTGAAGGACCCAAGTCTCCTTCTTCACTCTAAATCATTCAGTTACATCAACCTTGTTAATCTCAACATCCTCATAAAGTGTCTAACTTGTCTTTTAAATAAGGGGTGAAAGTCACCCGAAAATTACCTAAATCAGCAAAATGCACAGATTTACTTTCTAATACAAAACAATGGTTGAACTAACACCCCTACTTCATTCATATTCATGACAACTAGTTTTCCCCTGCATTCTAATAATAAGCATTAAAAGCAAAAAACTAGATATTAGCAAAAGACATTTCAACATGTCTTAATATCCACCGAAAGGACATTTCTGAGACATCACCAAACATAGCCAGATTATTACCAAAGTTTCTAGGGTTTTAGATTTAATTCTTTGAGCAGATACCTAAGGACCTCTTCCACTTAATATTTACTTCAATTATGATCCCAAATAAGCTATGAGGAAGCAATCAGTCAAACGATCCGTGATAGCACGTGACTCCAAACACCAAAGAAAAAACTTGTCGGAGCAAATGTATCGGAAAAACACTTGAAAAAAAATCCTTCAGTTGTCCACAAAATCTCAAAACAGAAGACCAAAGGTCAAAACTGTATAAGCTAAATATGATATAGACTTACTTGATCAGAATAATTACAGATTTTGCCTCAATGTGAACTCATCAAAATGCTTAAAGGACAATTTAATTCATTGTCCACTTTGCTAAGCTGTTGCTTCAAACTCCACATATTTCTAAGAAACATAGCTTTAATTTCAAGAAATTTAAAATCAAACAAGATGATAAAAGATATAATTTCACTACTAAGAAAGGAATAAAGTTCGAGTATTTTTCCACTCAATTGGCTAAAATAGATATTATTTATCAAAATCATCAAGAACCCAAACCGGATATTCACTTAAAAAGCTCAAAACAAACAACAGAACAACAATACTGCGATTAAAACAATTTCTTATTAACATTTTTATATATGAACACATGCATATAGAACGAGCGAGAAAATCAAATAAGGAAAAGAGGCAGAGGGTTCGTTCACCTTTGAAGAAAGAAGAAGAGTTTTGAAGCCGATTAGGAGACAGGAGAGAAATCACTCGTTTAATCTGGGACACTCTTGCCGCCATGATTGATTACTTAGGGTCGTCGAGGTTGAAGGCAGCTCAAAGGAATGTGGGGCACACGCGTATTCATACACTTAACAATTTTTTCTTTTTCAAGTTTATTGTATAAAATATAAATAGCGCGGTTTGTTATAGTGTTGTACTGTTGTCTTCTCACCGTTTAAAACAACAGAAAGGACACGTGGCATAAATCTACTAACCCTAGCTGCCAAGTGTTGGTAATTTAATCTGATAAAGAACACCTAGGGAAAAGGTTAACGGCGTGATTTTCTTTTCAAAAAATGTCTTAAAATCTAATGAAATTTATCCTGTGTTGACAGCACACTGTATATACAGTGGACTGCGGTACTAGTTCCACAGAGTTTAAACGAAAGTAACAGACTTTCCCTCCAACCAAAACTTCCTTCGTTACTTGTTTTCAAGAAACCATTCAAACCCATCATAAAAATGATGCTGGATCAACAAGCTCGCCTGGAACTGTTTCATATAAAACCTATCTCTGTAAGGCTCTATTTTGAGAGTTTTTTTTTCCATTGGTTTTTAGGAGTTTTTAATTAAACTGATTTTGAGGTGTTTTAAAACCATTATTTGCTAGATTTTGTATATACTGGTTTTGATTGGCCGAAAAACTCCCAAGAACCAGTATAAAGTATTTTTGAGGGGTTTATAAAACATCCCAAATCGGAGTGTTTTAGTTGGTTTTAAAATTTTATTCTACAAATACCTTATCTACTACAAAACTATCCCAATTATATCCCAAAAAAAAAAAAAAAAAATTAATCATATTATGTCTCCAACCATATTAAATATAAAATAATTTTAAGCAATCATAAAAAAATTATTAAAATCTCATTTCTAGATGCTTTCTTAAAGAGGTGGAGTTACAATTTTTCAATCATTCCAGATGTTGCAAAGAATAGCGAAGAAAAATAAGGAGACTTTATCACATTTGAAGTTATAAAATACAAATAAATAAAAAGCAAATAAAGAACCTTTACTTTGTAATTGAAAAAAACAAAACTCCAAAGTACTGATTGAAGTTGGAGTATTTTTATGGGCATATATGTAAATTTATCATTTTAAAAAACTGTCAGAACCTCTGAAAAATAAACTTCTAAGTACAAGTTGGGTGTTTTAAAAACCGCTACTAAAAACCCCTCAAAACCGCTACGGTAGTTTATCCTTAAAATCGCTACGATGATTTACTCTCATAACCGCTACCATGAAACTCCCAAGTAGACACGTTTGGTTCCGATATTCACCACGCTTGTTTCATGATCTAGCCATGATGAACAAGGATTTCCTCTTATTCAGAGTCTTGAATATTATGAACTTGGTATATACATGACTTACATACCTATGGGCTGTGAGAACCCTATTGTCAAGTTACGCAAGTCTATTTTGATTTCTATGTCATTTTATTTGCTCAAGCATGGTTCTGAAACACTTGTGAATGCAATGGTTTATCAATAATACACTACTGATGTTGGATGAGTTCTGGATTCTAAATCTCAAGTTTGGCCGCCGTTGCATCAACCAGGTTTATATGTGAATCTCGGTTCCTTTGGGATACACAGCTGATACTGTCTGGGGGGTGATGCTTGATGGCATTGTTACCCTTCTCTCGCAAATGCCAGACGACTATAAAATTGAAGATAAGGAAAAACAAAACCTGTAGTTATGTTCCGTATTATGCTCGGAAGAAAGAGAGGATCCTCTGAAGGATGTAAAGGATCCAAAGGAATGAATTTGATAACATAATCGGTACATTGGTAAAGCTTTTTGCTACTTACGATGGGAAGTACCAACTACCAACAGATCATCAAGAAAAAACTGGAGCCATCAAATCAGGAAGCACTACATCAGCTTTGGGGCAATTACCATCGCGGCTTTAGCCTTTCAGCACTTTAAAGTGACGAGTGGTNAAATCAAGAAGTAGGTCAGATTGTCGTGCAAATCTTTCCTTGCGTCCCGTTACTCACCTGCTCGAGTGATTTACTCAACTCTTGCAGGGATTGGACATGTAGATCGCCTCCAGCTTTTCACCAGCCTGGCGCACACCTATTACACTGGCAGGAACATGCCGCTTGCATCAGCGTGCGACGTGACTGCATCTGAATGGCTGCTGGACTTACCTAAGCTCTGGACAGGGCTCTGCATCAACCCTACTTTACCAGGCATAACAACATTATTGATGTTGGATGAGCTCTGGATTCTAAATCTCAAGTTTGGCCGCCGTTGCATCAACCAGGTTTATATGTGAATCTCGGTTCCTTTGGGATACACAGCTGATACTGTCTGGGGGGTGATGCTTGATGGCATTGTTACCCTTCTCTCATTGTTACCCTTCTCTCGCAAATGCCAGACGACTATAAAATTGAAGATAAGGAAAAACAAAACCTGTAGTTATGTTCCGTATTATGCTCGGAAGAAAGAGAGGATCCTCTGAAGGATGTAAAGGATCCAAAGGAATGAATTTGATAACATAATCGGTACACTGGTAAAGCTTTTTGCTACTTACGATGGGAAGTACCAACTACCAACAGATCATCAAGAAAAAACTGGAGCCATCAAATCAGGAAGCACTACATCAGCTTTGGGGCAATTACCATCGCGGCTTTAGCCTTTCAGCACTTTAAAGTGACGAGTGGTTTCCTCTGTTTTGCTTATTGTTTTATCACTAAGTTATAACTGTCGTTACTACAGAAATACAGATTTACTTTCTGTTCAACGCATATTATAATATGTACGATGGTTTCAACAACTCTGCTTTAATCTTTAAAAGGGCACGACGAAATACATACATTTGAGATAAATAAAATAAGACTGAAATTGTATCATATAAAGAGAAATAACATTTACGTGGTTCGATATAACCAGCCTACATTCATAGATGAGAGAAATCCACTATAATTTTATAAACATGACATATAAGAATACACAACACCATAAATCCAGTAGATAATTAATAGAGTAAAAACAATTCTAATTTCTAACCTAGTACTTAGAACGAAAACAATCATAATTTCTAAGACACTCTACACATGATGTTTAATAACTTTTACATTAAATATTAAATACTCTGTGTTCTCACATTCTCTCATAACCTTGAATTGGTTCTCACTCATATATTTATAAGTAGAATATGAAATATTCTATTTCTAATAGGATTTATATTTCAATTCCTAATACGATTCTTAAATTTTATTCCTATTTACAACTATGTTCCTTATCAAATAGTTTTCTCCAAAACATACAATTTTATATGAAAACAAATAAGAAAACGAGTCATAATAGCCCAACACTCTGTTATCAGTTTCATATATTTTTCTTCTTTGATTCTGGCATATAAATGGGAAATGCTGTCAAGTTTTTCCCCCACTTTCCTGGTGAAATTGTTGACTTCAGAGGGGAGAAAAATAGTTGGTTAAATAGTTTAAATAATTTCATATGCAGCCCTGCTCATCATTACAGGTGAAAAAATGCTTGAAACCATCAATGACTTTTTTGGATAAAATACTCAATTAGCTAAGGTCTGCATTGGATTCAACGTAACACAGTGGTCAAATGAATTTCTTAATAGAGTAGGAATTGATCAATATTTCATGGTTGTATTCACCATGATATGAGCTCATCAAATTTTAAACAAAGTCTCCGACGAAAGGGAATTTTCAGATAATATAATTGAAATATTAAGATTCTCATGATATCATATGAATATATTTTCTCATATGACATCATCTCTACTTAAGGAAATCGTCAGAAGAAAAGACAAGTTCAAATTGGTCTCCTCCTATAATATATGAGGAAAAGAAAAGTTCCAATTGGGTACTCTTGCAACAAGATTAAATTAATTCCTAAAACTAACCCATTGCAATCTCCAGAAGTAAACTTTAAAAACTAAATTTGATGCTGAATATGATACTTACCATCTAAACGATTTGTAGCTATCTTGCCTGCATATGGAAGGGAACACAAATGAGTTCTGCCCCATCAATCATGACACACCTCATTGCATACATCATTCCCCAGATATTTTGATGGAGTACATGCTTTCAACAGCGAAGACCTAGAAGAAAAGTCCGACAGCCATTCTCTCGTCCAGGGAACAATCTGGTTCTAGTGTGAGCATCAACTATCTGCAAATGATGCAAAACTCTCCAACACTTGCTGGCTTCACAGTACAGCATCAATTAACATTTAGGTTCAAGATTCATAAGGCTGAAAGGCGATGAGAAGAGAAAAGGGGAATCTTACTCATCATCTCCAAAGGCATCTGCCATGCATTATTTAAACAGAAACACAACAAATTATGCAAGTATGCCTGTTTATCAGTCTCCTTAATATACGTGGTGCTTGATTTGCTGAATTAGAAGCAGGGGAAAAACGGATTTCCAGTCTGTAATAAATTTTGAATAAATTCTGCTAGTTTGGACAAACAAGATAATCATTAGAGGTTTTCTTCCCAATTGAATAAATGAGCATTCTTGCATATCATGATGAAAGCTTTCATGTATAGCATGTCTAAAAACAGAGCATCACGGGCCTCTAACCCTACAACCAAATCTTTAGAACCTGTCTTTTATTATCTAGGCTGGAACTCTCTTGCCAAATAAAGAACTATGACTAAACATATAGGATGGTTCAACTATAGTTTTTAGCTAACTTGAGGCACTAGGAGTTTTGGTTCTAATCGCCATATGACTTGGACTCGTTGCAAACACAGCAAATATAAATCAAACTATAGACTGAATCTGGTCATAAGAGAAGACAAGAGGATAAAAATATCAATCAATCCAACACAATAATAACAAAGATTGTAGTATAAAATTCTGCTAGTATATTATTCAGAACAGAAACAATATTCACATGTTCCACCTTTAAAGAATCACTTTGAATGAAAAAAGAAAATTGAAGCAATAACTCAACTATACAATGTATCAGTGTCACCACAAAAACAACTGTAAAGCCGCCAAGAATCAGCAACAAAAATACCCTCATCTAGGTGCTATGGACACTGAAAAGTCAGTAGGCAAACCAATTTTCTCAGCCCAAGTCTTGGACTCCAAATACAACTTAGAA